AAGAAACAAACTCTTGCCGTGGTGGAAGCGAGTACGTGGGGTGCTCCTAGGCGCTGTAACACGCTCCTAGGCTCTGTAACGAGAAGTTTTTAATAAAATCTGTGGACAGAAGCTCGGGCCAGCGCTTGGTCTGGTGGTTTTACTTTTATTCGCAGCACGGGGCACGGCCGTCTCCAGGAGGCTGTAAAAGGGGTAATGGGACCCGGTCACCCAACACCGCGCTCCGGGGAAATATCGGAGGGAAGAGCTTTAAGCCCGGTGCGCAGATCACATAACAGAGATACGGTTCCCTTTTGCTGCGTTATTTCTCTCCCGTTAGTATTTTTAACCCAAAGTGAACTTGAGCCTGGCCGTGCCTGGTAAATCTCGGTTTGGGATTTGCTTTTGCCAGTTTTCCACAGACTCCTGGGTGCTGCACAGCGAGCAGGATTTGACCTCTATCTCTGCCTTAATAGCAAATGTCAGCTCGGCTGCCTTTCCCACCTTACACCAGCCTTGCCTTGCTGCAGCTGTGGGGCTTTTTTTCCCATTTTGTTGCCTAGAGTAGAAGACATTATTTTGACTTTCTTTCTACTTTCAAAAACAGGATATCTGCATTTTTGAGTACTGTAATAAAGTAAAAATGATGTGGCAGTCTTCTTAAAAAACTTATTTTAACTGAAGGTTGTTATACCTCTCAAATGTATACAGGGATAAAAAAATTTTATAGGTCATATGACTTTTCTTCCCCAAAATTTTTTTTTTTTTTTAATCTCTTTGTTTTCTTATCCTTGTGAAATATTAAAATGCCTGCACCTAATCTGCTTCTGGAATAACACCTGTCATGATTTTTTTTTTTTCTTCTTTTTTTTCCTGGAGTTAGAAACAAGTTTCCTGTTTCTTAAATAAAGGACAAGAAACTTATTTAGGAATATTGGGTATCTCTGTTTAGTCCCATTGTGGCCACCAAACACTACTGCAGAGTACAGGAATGTCGAGACTCTACTTGCTTCTTTCCCTGTATTAACAAAAGGGGATTTTTACAGTAAAATGTGAAGTCACTGAAATAAGTTTTTATTCAAGATGGCTAGTTATGATTCACATGTGTAGATAGGCCTGTCCTTCCTTGTATATGAATTTCTGGTTTGTGTCCCTTCCAACACTTCTTTTGAAATTAAGGCCAAAGGTGCTCTACACCACTTCACTCTGGATAATACCAACATAAAAGTAGGGTTTCTAAAGTTGTGATTGATTAATAGACATCTGAGGACTTCAGTGTGGCTCTTGATAGTGATTAAAGAGAGTGTAGTCATCGGTGTACTTCATTCATTCTTGGTTTGATGGAATATGCACTTCATTTTAAATAGAAAAATGCAACAGTAAATCCTTGCTGCTTGTTTTTTGTAGCTTCAGAAACACAACATTTTATTTCTTCTATGTCCTAACAGAGTGGAAAACTCTCAGATCCATATTTTCTACCACAGATCTCTGCATTTCTTCAGCAGCTTTATATCCTCACAGATCAGAGAGACAAAAGAGAACAGAGAGGTTGTTGTATATTTGCTAAGCATCACTTACAGGTGACCTAAAATGAAATATTTGCAGGTAGGCAAGAAAGATGTAATCATTTTTAATGCTTTAATGTCATTGATAGAACATCAGTGTTTAGATTAATGCTCTCAGCTTTCTGTCTGGATCTGCAATAAATGGTCTGCATCAGATCTATATGTATTTTTTTTTTTCCTCCCATACTTTGGGTGATAAGGGTGCCTGCTACCCTGGGTGAAAAAAAAATCCTGAAGGTCTGAAAGGGGAGAGGGGTCTGCTGATACAGAAAATTTAGAAACATCTCATTTAGACTGTCAGGTCATCAATCTGTTTCCTGGAAGCCTGCACCAGCGTAGCTATTGCTGGTACTGATGTCAGATATAAAATATTCTGTAGTAGCTGATCTTATTCTGGAAAGTAACGGTTCTGCTGCAGTAAGAAGCAAACAGCTTCTTCTTGCCTAAGTGTAGCTACAGTTCTGCAGATGCAGATTTGGATAGCAGACAAGGCCCTGACTAGGAATTTCTGTTGACACCCTTTTGAAACAAATGGGATATTCACACTTCACCTCTATTTTCGGATCTCTGGAAGCAAGTGGAGATCAATTACTCATGCCACGCTTCTCAAGGCTTTTGTGCCGTGAGAAGACCATGCTAGCTTTCTGCCACTAATCTAAAGTTAGTTTCAGGGGACATGACAGGAATCCTTATCTACAAAACAACCCTACTGGATTTGGTTTGTGCTCTCTGGTGCCCTACCTGCATAAAGTTGAATTTTCATGACAAAGCAGTGATTTTTCTCTGAATCAAAAATCGTGTTGCCTCATCTGCAGTCTGTGCGGTCCTATTTCATGGTGATTATGAAAACCTGAGCAATCTGCGGTTAACAATCTTTGTACATCACCCAGCATGAAAGCATTGATACCTTTTTTCTTCTGCAAAACTTATAGATCGCTTGGTTGTACGGCAGTTAAAAAGGTGAGTGAGAACAAATATGACACCTTCCATTTTTCCATGTTTCAAAACCAGCTTTGTCAGCTGTGCAGGAGATGAAGATGTGCCAGGGTCTAGTTGGTCATTTAAGTAAAAAAGCATTTGAAAACAAGACAAGAATTTTTTTATTTCATGCTGCTGCTTTTTTTTTCTGGCAGAGCTGGATTTAGAGTATCCTGTGCAAAGTGGAGAGAATGGAAAACTAGGTGGTGGAAGAGCCACTTACATGGGAGAGGGTAAAGAATTTGGAAGAAGTGTGTGGCTGTTTAGATGCATGTGTATGTTTCATATATATGTAAAACATACATACGTACATACAAGTTTAAAGCAGCACTGATGCTTGCTAGGTAATCTCAGTGATTTTGAGTGAAGTGCATAGCTACAGGATTTCTGTTACCACTTAAGATAGTAAACATACCTCCTGGCTTTCTCCTGAGAGTATTGTGAGATTTGATGTTTGTCATAAATCAAGCCCATTAGGTGGAAGACATAAAAGTACTTCCAGTGATAGCAGAGTCTTGCCAATTGCTGTTCTGGATTTCATTACTTTTCAATTGGTCTCTGACACAAGACTACATTAGCTAGTTCAGACAAAGCTGCAGGAAGCCTTGTAATGAACTATTTTGAAGCTACCTTCATGCAGGAAACTGAAACAAAAATGTCTACCCTTGATGTTTTCACACTTTTTGAAGGGGAGAGTTCAAACAATACGTAAAAATCTCTGATCATCTAAGTGGTATTCCAGTGATAGCTTGTTTGGTCAATGAGGTTATCAGCAAAACTTTTTTCCCAGCATTTGGAAGAACTGTGAAGCTGGGTTGTATTTTCCTCTTTTGGTAGAAACTTTTTCAGATAGCTTTCTAAATTTAGAAAGGAGCAGGTTCTTTCCGTGACCAGACTCAAAAAAAAAAAAAAGAAATAGCCAGAGACATCCAGGAATTTAGTTTATCTACTGCCTGATGGACTGAAACCATAGTTCCACATATGTTTTTTTGACAGTAATACTGTCTGAAGCATCCTCCACATCTGGTGATCATGTCTTCTCCATTGCACTGGCACAAATGTTTGGGTTGCTGCATGGTAGACCTGACTGGGGAAATGTTCTAGCAGGGTGAGAGGTGGGGGGCCAGATTATTTTTCACCTGGATCATTCCCTCCCCTGGTTGCTGCCAGCATCAAGGGAAGGGATGGGGCTGGAATGAGCAGGAAGATAAGGCCAGCTCAAACAGCAGTGCTGCTAAATGAGTAAAAGCTGACATAAAAAATTTTTAATTATTGCTGTGTTTATAAGTAAGCTGGATGGCATAGATCCTGTTGTGGTGGTTCTTGCTGCAACGCTGGATCATTTAGCTAAGTTTAAGTTTTTATGTGTGCTAAATATGAGCAAATGGACATGAGCAGCAGCTGTTCCCAAACTGTAATATCATGATGTATATATACTGTTTGTTGTGCTACTTACTTACTTGGCGTAAACACCTTTTGTGTGTGTTTTTTTTTAACAACTATTATGTTCACTTCCTCAGTCCTGTTCTCACATGTTTTGTTCTAACTTCTAACCTTCCATCACCATTCTCTGCAGCTCTTTGCTGCAATCTTCTTAATCATCTCTCCAGCAACTCTGCAACCTCTTGTGACACTTTAACTCCAATATTACATGCATTTTTACGATAGATGCGACCCTAAATCTTATCTCATTCTCCAGTGCTATTCCAATATCAACTGGATTTTGCTTTCCCTTGTACTTTTCCTAGGGCTTGAATGTAAAATCTCTTCTCATCTAGCTTATTTTTTATACCCCATAGAATAATGGATGAGAAGCATTACTTTGTGTGCATTTTTCTTCCTCTGGCTCTGTGTGGCTGGCCCAGTCTCAAGCTTTGCTGGTGCCTCTCCATTTCTCCAAGTGACATGTAATATGAGCAGAGTTTGTAAATTTATGCCTTAGTAGATTGTAGAGAGCTTTCTATTGGAAAATAGCCAAGGGCTTTACTATAGAAGTAGGACCGCTGTCCCTCTTTGTGAAACTCATCCGAATTTTTCTGGTTTGTGCTGGTAAGAAAATTCTGGGAGATAGCAAGGGAGGAAAGATGTGAAAAAGGGCACTGTGTACTAGCGCCACAGCGTAATACCAACAGAAGTCTTGCTGTGTTTCATCTGAGCTGATACAACTGTATGTGGCTCTCAAAAGGCAGGCATTTTAGTCCTTTCTTCTTTCCTGCTCTTGCTCCTTGTTGTGTGATGTTTGACCATCCCTTATGTTGGCTGTAGTGTATGCAAAATCTAATTAGCCAGTTCAAATCACTAACCAAGGAGAAAACCATGCTTTTTTTTAGGTTAGTTTTCTTCTGCATGAGTGAGCTGAATCGGTTGGTGTTTGAGATGCTTTTAGCACCAACAGGGAGACTGTAGGGAAAGAAAGGAGGAGGACACACCTTTCTTCCTTCAGCAGCAGAGAGGTGGGTCAGGAGACCCATCTTGGGGAACTGCAGCACATCCATGATTCAGAGTGAAAGAAGGAAGATTCAGGCTCTGTCCATGGTGATCAGAGCCATGTCAGTTTGTAGCTAGGAAAGCTAGAACACAGTGTCTCAGTTGAAGAAAAGAAAACAAAGTTTTCCCTCTTGAAAACGTGATGACAGCAGTGTGGTTGAACTAGCTACTCCTTATCAAAGGCAGGTTTCAGTCTTCTCAAGCAGTTGGATCAGTGTAACTCTTAGGTCCCTTTCTTTATGAGGAGCCCAGTCACATGGGGTGAATTATATATAATATTTCTTTAACCAAGCCCAAATTGAAAGATGAAGCTCCAGAAGGAACCCAGGTCCAACACCCTGATGTAAATCCCATCAGTTGGCCCAAGGCACCTGGGAGATGAGCTTGCTTTAGTTTCACTGTTACTGCAAACTGATAGATGCCTTGGCCTATCTTCCTGATTTTAAAATAATAATTGTGGCTGAAGCTACCAGCACAAAAGTTGTAGCATAAAGGTAATGTGGAGTGTATAACCAGTGCACGTTATCTTGGGCTGGGGATAGGAAGAACTGCAAACAACTGCTTTATCAGCAATGTGGCTGTTTGAAAAATACGTGTCTCTGCCCAAACTCAGAAAGCTAATGCTGAGTGTATAAAAAATAATCATCCTGTTTCCAGCTTCCCACTCTTAAGCAGTCATCAGTAAAACAATAATAATCAATTTACAGAATATAGATGTTTTGTTTTCTTCAGCATCTTTGTTGACTTTCCACAGTCTTTTAACACCAATTATACCCATGATTTGATCTACTTTGCTTTCATTAGCAGGCCTGGCTGCAGCAGGGTAGAGTCTGCTCCACCTTCCCTGTTCCTGCTCCTGTGCCAGTAGCACCAGTATTGCTGTCTGTGAGCCAGTGACCTGGATCAGAGAACTGGTCCGGGATAAAAATAAGTTGTGGTTTCTGGTCTGTCTGTGGTGCAGACTGGTTGCCCAGTCCCACTTACTGCATAGCCTCACAGACAGCTGTAAAGGTATAAATAAGAAAGAATCCAGAGGAAAGCAGAGCCAGCCTGAGCTGATAGTGCTGCCAACAGAAATGCTTGTAAGACTGTAGTTGTAGAAAGCAAAATGGAGATTTTCTTTTGTGTACAACACACTGATGCAAAACACAGATTTTCTTTCTTTCTCTGGCCCTTTCTGGTTCATCGATGGCTCCCGTTGCTTCCTCGGGGTGATCATTCTGACCTTCAGCGTTACCAGCAAGTCGCATCTCTGTTCCATGGAGGCAGCTGTGTTGCCCAAAGGTAATGCAGGTCCTAAACTCCAGTTAAGTATTTGAGAACCAAGATAAGTCATTCTCTTTTCTGAAGACAATACCTTGGCAGAGTAGATCTGCCTGGCAGGCATATGCGAGATCTTTCTCATTTAAGAAGCTCTCCTGCACTGTCCAGACAAATATAAACATACCTGAAAAATAAACCAGAATCCACTCAGTTGCTAACAGTACTCAAAATCATTTTACTATAAAGTTTGGTCACCGTTCTGTTTCAGCTGTGTTTTAGGGAGAAGGTGGGTCATAGATTTAACTTTGGTGCATTAAGCAAGATAATGTGTCTGCTCTTGCTTCAAGACCAGTGCTAATTGACCAAGCAGTGATGATTTCAATATAACTAGTAAAGCCAGAGCAATTTCAGGATTTAAAATATTCCCAAGTCTGAGCTGTGGCTTAAGCTCGAAATCTTTTGGTTTTAATGTTGCAATAAATTTTGTGAATAGGATGCATTCAGAAGTTGGACATGGGCAAGGTTTGTAAGGGAGTGCTGTTTTTCTTGTGCATACCTGGGCATGCTCTACTGTAGCACTCCCAACTGCAGAAAGAATTCAGAGGTTTTCACTTACTGGAGAGCATTGAAGCAAAATATAGTCTATACTGCTTGTAAAGAAAGAAAGCAAGCTATTATAACAAAAAGTATGTTGCTTGTACAGATACAGGTTACTCTGAATTTGTTTCAGACACTTGACTTTATATCTGGTAATTGTCAGCTTTGTATAAATAATTCAGTCTATTTTACTTTCAGATGACCAGTTCTAAAGGTAATCTATTAATAAAACAGTGAAAGCGTTGGTCTGAAACATCCATTTTGTTGTGTTTTCTTTCTGAACTCATTAGAAATGTGGGGTTTTTTTAAACAAGACTTTGCAATATTTACCAAGTTACATAATTTCACGCTCATATACTGTGGGTTGAACTCTTAGAAATGCCACGTATGTTCCAAACATCAAACAGAATGAGCAGTGATTGTTTTAATAGTTTATTCCTATAAAGCTTGCAGCGTAAATATATGAAGTGGCATTTTTTTATGAATGAATCCTTTAGCCACTGACATTCAGAAGTGGGTTAGAAACATTAGCAATGGGGCTGTCCCTTCTCGCCAACAGACAAAATCTCAGCACAGACACAAATTCTACCTAAAATTCTTAATTATGCTGCTGATAAGACCTAAAACTCCATGCTTGCCCTGAATTTCTTAATTGATTTGATAGTTTTATGAAATAGAAGGATGATGTGAAAAACAAGAGTGATGTGTACCACTTCAGCATTCCAACATCTGACCCTTTTCAATCTGCAGTATTTTGCTGATGTGACCTACAGTATTCAAACTGCAGGCACTTTTTTTTTTTTTTTTAATTTTTACATAAACAAAACAAATGGATGATGAAATTCAGATATCTAATTTAACATTTTAGACCAAACAAAGAACTTTACATACTCACAGTTGCCCTCCCTCATTATAGGATGGGAAATGAAAGATTTACTTTATTCATGGGAAAGTCCCCTGAATTTCTGGGACTTCCCAGAAAATTAAGTTTCTGAATATAAATTTACATTCATACTACATTAAAATGTCATCTTTAATCAGTGTAATCTCGAAGAACCATCAGTTCAGTCTTATGGCATGCTGATAGATGTGATGTGTCTGTTAAATATTTTTATACTGTAAAATGAACAGAGACTCTTGAAACAAATTATTTTGGAATAGAAAGATTTCGGGTAATAATAAACATGTTTATATGGTTATCTGTCTTTATCACATTCCTGCATATGCTTCCATTAAATCATACCTGGTATGTAATTTAAGTTATTACAGTTAAGGAAACACCTGTGTGTAGGTGATTCCTTTCTCTGTTACAGGTGTAAGATTATTATATATTGTATTCTTGGCCCTTGGGCTTGGAGCACTGAGGTTAACCAGACTGATAGAGTCTGTGTAATGTTCTAGTTTTTATTTTTTAGTAAGTTGTTTATGATCTGCTCTGAGCACCAAAAGAGAGCTGGGTGATCTTCTGTATAATTTAAAAGTAGCTGTAGCTTTCTTCATTTAAGCATTGGCCATGGACACGGTGATGGAGAATATGTGAGTCTCTGTACCACATATATAGAGCAAAGCCTGTGCAGGAGGTACTGTTACTAAATACCCTCGTCTTCACAACTTCATTGTCTTGCTTCACTCTCTCTAGGAGCGTAGCTCTGTTGAGCAGTCAGTCATCACCCCTGTTTGCTAAGTAGTTTCCCCACCTTGGAGATAACCGTTTATTTAATACAAATGTGTAGAGTGTCTCCATACAGAATTGCATGGTGCCACAGGTTTGGGATTGCAGCAGTTCCTCCAGCTGATGCCTTTTGACCTGGGGTATTTAAAGGCTGCTTGGCACGTGGACAAAGATCTTTCCAACATGTCAAAACATCGCCAAATATTTCTTGCAGCATTTAGGTGGTTCTTAGTCTGCCAGAATGGGTGATGGGGCAGTAAAAGGCCATAAGACACAGAAATACGTATGGAAGAGAACAAATATGAGCCATCGGAATGACTTTGACAAGTCAAGTGGAAATCTCAAGTTGTGACAGATCTACCCCGTGGAAAAAAGGAACACATGCACCTTCTTAGATGGATCTTAACCCTGCTAACTTGGCGTATTTTTCTGCTCCAAATACTCCACACTAACCAACATTCATTGTTGGTAGGGACATAACTCCTGTTTTCTAAGATCATCTCCCATTTTCTCCCTGTCACCGGGGATGGAGAAGGTCTCTCCGCTTGTGGAATTAGCTCTTCTTTCTGTCTCTGCACTGCCTTAGATCTACTGGAACACCTTCACATGCCAATGTTTGCTATGAAAGGAGGTGGCCCAAAATGTTCTGCTTGTTGACCAGCACAGCAGGGTAAATTATTTATTTGGCCTATCTAGGTATCTGGGTGGTACTAGAGCACTGTTTTTAAATTGCTTGCTGTGCCAGCCAGGTACAACCTTCCTCCTTTCACAGGGGTCACGTAGCTGCGTTAGTGTGGTGCTGAGCCCAAGCTGACAACCCGTGCTAAGAGGTAAGGTGCACCAGCTTGGGCACAGGCCCTTGTTAGCAGAACAGAGGTGGTAGTTTATTGTACCCATGGCTGTACTCACATTACTTGCATTCAGGCTGCATTAATACATCCCGTGGCTTTTAGGTGGGTGCTGGTTCACATCCAGCAAGCTTTCACCACGGGCTGAGCAGGTGCCATCCCCACCTCGCCGTGTGAGGTACCTGCTGTTTGCAGAAGTGAGGATTATGGGTGAACTGCAGCATCTAGTAGGTAGCATCACGGGGGCTCCCTTTTGGAGACATGCACAGAAGAAAAGATACCTCACTAATCTTAATACAGGTGTAGTTGTATCTTCCTTTTTTTAATTAAAAACTGCCATCAGGCTAGTATGTGATCACAGTTCAGGGCTGAAGTTAGAAATGCAATTATGAGAAGTGTCTGGTGTCATGTCACTGCAGTCAGTTGTGCTGAGAGGTCAGCTTCACATCTCACAGAGTCATTTGTTCCTCAGTTCTCCACACACTGCTGTTTCAGTCAAAGGTAAAAGGAGAATTTGACTAGGGCCAGAAATTAAACCTTATCACAAATGGCTATCCTGATTATTTGCTGGGTCTGAACCAATTGCAAAGAGCTTGTTCCTGGACTTTGTGATGTATTGAGCAGGAGAATTAGCTCCCAGATGCTATCATAAAAAAGAATTTGATGCCCGTATTCTATGTTGTGTTAAAGATGTGGGCATATGCATGATACTGTTCAGATACATTGTTGTGATAATTTTTATTAAGTAACCAGCAGCTGCACATTGCAAAGTGATCTACAGTACTTTCAGCAAACACTTGAAGAAAAGAGGCGTGTATTTTCACAATTTCACATAGTTTCATTTTTGTGGAGGGAAAGCTTCTTTCTACAGTAGAAACTACAAGAAATCAGCATAGGTTGACAATTGGGTGCTTTTTATGTTCTAGAAATAATGTCAGAGAAAAGATGGTAAGCTGTAGTAAAGTGTGGTCAGTTTGTATGTAAATGCACTGCATAAATGATACTGGCAACAAATTTGTAAGAATTACAAGATGTGCTGAATTCTCAGAAACAAGCAAGTTCTCTTGAAGTCTTTGTGAATAGATTGTATATACTGCCTAGAACATCTTTAACAATCTCTGCTTTCTCTAAAATGCAATTTGCAGAGATCTTTTGGGGTGAGTTTGTTTTTTTTTTGTTATACATATTCACTAATGGTGTTTATAAATAGTTCTCACAGTTCTGTTGCATGTTAAAGATCACAAACGTAAAGCATGTGAATTAGTATTTTAATACCCTAAGTGCATTCAATATAAGGACAGAGCATTTATAAATAGAACAGATTTATGGATTATGTTTTCAATAATAATGTTAGTTACCCAGTGGCTTCTTTTTGGTGGAGGTGGTTGTTGATGCCATTCTTCTATTTCCACTTCCACTCGGCCCTTGCATGGCCCTGACCCAGAGGTTGGCATGATCATCGAGCAGCTGTGTGGCGAGCCCATTCAGAGAAGTGGTAAAAGGAGATTTAAGACGAAGCAGCAACTGTAGGTTGTGTTCACAGTATGGCACACCATCTTGTCACCCCGAGGAGAGGGCAGGAGGAGCAGACAGCTGGGGGCAGCAGCAGGGGCAGTGCCAGCTTGGGATGACAGAGCGCTCTGGTGTAAATTGCAATTCCTGTGCCAACCCACTGTAGTCATTAGCGACAGAGAGAGATAATTATGGGCCTGTCTTGTCCTGTTGAGCATTTATTACTGGTTATTTGACGTCCCATGTGTTAGCTGTAAATAAAATTATTTTTTCTGAACATTTTCAGTCTGGCAGCCACTGAATGGAGTTCATAAAGCAGCTGTTGAGCTGCAGCTGAAAGGGCTGCCACGCTGCAAGGTAGCAGTGGAAATGTTTATAGATTTCATGTGAAT